TCACAACCCTTAAACCCCAGGCAAACCTACACAGGAACACAAACACAAATTGTCTATGATGAATCTAATCTCCAAGTCACACTCCTTTAGTTCAGATCAAATCAGAACATCTTTAGTCCACTTTTCTTGAAAGAATCTTGATGTATAAGCAACCAATGTAGCCTTGATTCTCCAATATCTCTTTTTGAACGCTATTGTATTCAAAACTCAATGTAAACATTAGTATTTGAAACTGATAGCAAATTCATCTATTCAAACAGAGCTCAAGACGCATATATATATGTGTATATATATATATATATATATATATATATATATATATATACACTCTTTTGAATCCTGATGCATTATAATCGATTAAGGTATTTATGTAATCTGTTAAGTTTTTATTTCTGTTTTAACAGTTTTGCTTCTGTTTTAACATATTATCCTGAGCATGTAATCAATTATTTAATCATACTAGCTAGTTATAAATTCATTTGACCATCATGACAATTCAGACTATTAAAAGAAATGGATTTAAACAAATTAAATTTATTTAATCGATTATATAACTCATGTGATCGATTAATCCTTTACTTAAGCAAATTTTCAATCCAATTTCCATTTTAAACATATCAACTAACTTATGAAACATATAATGGCATTGCTTTCGTTTTTAAATCGATTAAACAACTTATGTAATCGATTACTACAAAACATTTTGCCCAGTTAAGCATACAATGAGATTTGGTGAAATCTAACAGATTATACATTATGTTAAATCGATTATTTCATCCAGAAATGAGATTATTAATCTATTTAATACATGATTCATTTAATACAAGTGAATTCTCATATCAAGCACAAACAAGATACATATAAGACAATTGTTATGTCATTTGTTATGCAAGAAACTATAAAATCATTCTCTGGTTCATCATAAAAAATATAGATATAAAGGATAGGTTTAGCTCCCCCTATCAACAATGTTTATTCTTTAACCTCTCATATCAAATAAAAGGCTAATTAACCAAAGTACATTCTAGATTAATTATTGTTAAAGTTTTTACCTTTAATCAAATTACATCCTCAATTATTGGCAAAAACTCATTCAATCACATGAAAGTTTCTAAATTTAATAAAAGTAAATTCTGAATTAAAATTAAAAACCTTTGGACTCATATGATTGATATGTTATGTAGATTTAACACCATTCTTACTTGTTATAATGTAAAAATCATTACTTTTACTTTATTAAGAAGCAAAAGACATAAATAAAAATAAATCACAAGAATAAAAAAGAACAAACACATTTATTCATCTAACCTCAAAATCCAATTAAGAAATTACAGTAGAATCAATCCCAGAGACTAAACACTCCATGGAATGTAGACCTAATTGCTTGATCAATGTAGAAAACAATGGAAAAAAACTCAACATGTTATAAATAAAAAGTTGACCAAGACAGGAACATAAGAAAAAATAAAAAAATCACATGATAAGAATAATTACTTAGAATGGGATGAATCCAAAGGATAAATACAAGAAGATTTACCACTTGATAAATCTTTTCATGATAAGAATCAAAGGAAAAGTAGAGAAACTCTTATAATTCACAAAGTTAAACTCACAAAAAGATAATTTTATTCAATCTTTGAAAATAAATCTACAGTGTGATTCCTCCACTTTTGTAGAATGAATTATTGCCTTAAGTGCATGACTCTTTTATCCATCCCACCCTCTAGATCATGTGGAAGTCTGTAACAAGAATGAGATGGTTTGATTGGATCATAATTTGAGACCAATCATTCAAGCATTAAGCATAAATCATATTACAACTATTAAATAAAAGAGCATACATAAATATTATAGAGGTAGTAGTAAAGAGACTTAGATTCAATTACATCTAACATCAACACAAGAGAGTTCAACTACTCTTGTTGATAGAAAAGCTAAGGTCTAGGAGTTGTTGTTCCTCTCCTATGCCTCTCTTAATAAAATCTATACACTCAATACAGAGAGGGTGCCTAAAGAAGCTAAGAATAGGATGCTTAAAATTAGGAGCAAAGCCTTGTATTTAAAGATAAATTTAGGTGGTGCTTAACTTCATTATTTAGCACTCAACAACAAATACTTCCTCTCAAGGTGAGTTTTCTTCTCAACTCAACTCTATCTTTTGGTGATCAACACCTGAGTTTTCCTTCTTTAAAGGGTTTCTTTGGTAGCTTAGGCCCTTTCTTTGGTGCTTCAAATTTCCTTTTGCAAGGGGCTTCCTCATGTGGCTTAACACCTTTTTGCGCTGCTCAGTTAGAAGGTTAAGATTCAACGCTTTGTAACTTCTTCTTCTAGCACTTAGTGTGTGTTCGCTTAGGATTGATTTGAGGGAGAGTGAGTGAATGAATTTTTGAGGATTTGAGGGTGAATTAATTGTTGTTTTTTAGTGGATTTGAATGTGAGTGAAAGTGTATTTGGAAGTAAATTTTGTGAAAATTAGTGTAGTATTTGAACGATGTGACAGATAAAAAAATTGTTTAATTGGTAAAAATTGAAGAATACCAAAATATCCCTAGTTATAAAAGTAATTAAAATATTAATTCTTAATGTTATATGTAATTGTAAAAATGTTTATAAAGAGAAATAAAATTAAAATTAATTATTAAAATAAATTTAAATTTTTTTAAAAATTGTAATTTAGTAAAATAAAATAATGTTTTTTAAAATATAATTTTTTTAATATAATTTACTACCAAGTGGTAAGATTTTTTTGGTTATTAAGTCCATCGTTCTATTTGAAGCCAATAAAACATCAAATTTGCCCATTCAAAATCTCCATTCTTCAATATCCCAGGTTCATATATGATACCACACATTGGATTTTTAAACATCACTCAAGAATATCAGGAGAAGAAAACAAAGAGATGTATTAACCAAGTAAAAGCATATAACAGTAAATGATAATATATGAGAAGAAACATGCATCTCAAACGTTAGCATAATAAAGCAATTCAGTTTGATCAGCCACATGAAAATGCTCATAGACCAACCATTCGACCATTTTTAATTTTTATCTTATTGCCAAATTTGGACATATAGTAAGTAAACATAATTATACATGCGGGATGGAACTTAGATGAAATATCAAAAATCCATATTGGAAGTGATTGTTTAGAATCAAGAAATTATATATGTAGTGATAGCATAAATATTTTTTATATTAAGATCCAATTGCAAATCATGTTATACTATCTCGTTGACTTTTCTAATAACTATCTTGTTGATAGGGGGAGCAATATGAGTGTTAAACCCAATCCCTGATGTGTTTGGTTTTTTCTAATGACAACACATTGATTGTAACAACACATGTATGTTGTCATGAAACAACAGAAATGTGTATTAGTGATTAATACATATATTGGTATGTAAATGTTTCATGATGAATAATACATATGATGACATGTTGTTTGGTCTGCATACTATTATGATATTGATTGTGTTTATATCTTCTATATGCATACTAAATATTTTAATGTGATAAAATCACAAGCAAAAAGCAACTCGGTATGCAATAATCGATTACAGTGATATCAATTAAGTTCATCAAACAACTTATGTTTTAAATTGTGGCAAAACAACAAGTTTTAACCGATTACATTAAGTGAATAATAGATTAAAACTCGTGTCTTTGCAAACATCTTTTTGAAATGTGTTGTGATGAGTTTTGATGTGAAAATGTTTTCAAAATCTGTTTAAGTGTATAGCTTAATCGATTACACTATTTATGTAATCAATTAAGTTTGTTATTATTTGACAATTGTTTTCAAGCTAAGTCATAACAGTGATAACGGTCATATTTTTCAAATATTTTGACTAGCATTTATTAGCAATCAATTACATTAAACTTGCATTCAATTAGAATTGTTTTAATTCTGATTTTGTTATAACTGTAAATAATATAACCAATTACATTACTTACGTAATCGATTGAATTGCGTCTGATATGAGAAAAACTATAAATTGACGCACTACACACTACTCTCAAGAATTTTGGTCATTCTAAACTTTCATATATGATATTTGTGATTTCAGAAAAGAACTAAAGGTGTGTTGAGACGCTCCAAGAAAAAGGATATACAGAAGTTGATTGTCTTGAAGGTTTCTTGAAGAACAAATTGGGTTTTCACTGCTGATCAACTACTACACTACTAAGGTGTACTATTGCCTGATCAGATTTCGCTATTAGCAATCTTGGATTGTGTTGTTCCCTGTACGTGCAGCAGGAAGAAGAGCGAGGAGTTCTTTATACTTTGAGAGGTGTCTCAAAGGGGTGACTGCAGAAGAGGATTATTCTTGTTGTAGGGTATTGTTATTGGCTATATTATATTAGTGAGTTAGAGAGGTGGTTTACATTTTGATAGATTGGTCGCTGTAAAGCCTTGGTGTAAAAACTCGTATCTTTATAGTGCAATTGGCGTTCAATCTCAAGTTTATTGAAAGGACACTAGATGTAGGCATTGAGGCCGAACCAATATAAACTATGTGTTTATATTTCTTTCCTTATCTCTTTTGCTTTCATTGCATGCGCTTTATTGCTTGGATTACAAGAAAGATTAAAGATCATTCTTAGTTTGCGAAAAGATTTTAAAAGCAATTGTTTTTTATTGATTACCAATTCACCCCCCTCTTGGTAAGAGAAATAAGGCAATTCTTTTCTAACAATTGACACTAGAGCAGGTTTTGTGAAATCGATTAATTGATCTTGATGGCCTCGTTTCCTTAATCATGAGAAAGAGTGAATTTGATAATGAGTGTGTGTATGTTACTTGTAACGATAAATGCATTTCTATTACTAATGATTTTTATGAGTCTTTTAAGACAATGATATTTCAAAAATCCTCTCAGGAAAGAAAAATTGGCATCAACATTCTAGAACCTAAATAAAAGGAAGTTGATTTGCTGAAAAATTCACCAGATTCCTGAACATAAAGAAGACAAATATAGATCTCAAGGGTGATCAGAAGATGAGCAAGGACCAAGATTTACAGGATGTTGATCTTAGTATTATGGCAAAGTCAAACATAGCTATTACAAGTTCTGAACAAGATGAAAAGCAATCCATGAGGTATCTGAATAATGGATGTTCGAGACATATGACAAGTGATCCAACCAGATTCACATGTCTCTCTCATAAGACAAGCGGCCATGTTACTTTTGGTGACAATAACAAGGGTAAAATCATTGGAATTGGTAAAATCCAAACATCATCTTCATATGAAATTGAAAACGTGTTGCTTGTTGTAGGACTAAAACATAATTTGCAGATAAGTGCTTCCTTTGCCTTGTGTGCATAGGAAGGGTTGTTCGGGTATTGAACCTTCCTTGTGTGGGGGTGATGTCTTCCTTGTCCTTGTGTGGTAGGATTACATGTTCCTTAGTTGGATTGCGGGACTACTCGGGCATAT